TCGACCAGCTGCCTCCTGCACGCCCCCCACCGGGGATGTGCCTGCAACCAAGGTACATGCCCTTGACCGGAATCGAACCTGGGACCCTTCAGTCCGCAGGCCGACGCTCTACCCACTGAGCCACACCGGCCAGGGCGGGACCCCTCCCTCTTTACAGCCCGGATTCTGGCTGAGTGGGGCTCCCCCTGTGGGAGCGTCTGCCCCCTGGTGGCCAGTGCACGTCATAGCGACCGGTCGTTCGGCCGTTCAGTCCATTTGCATATTAGCCTTTTATTATATAGGATTTTTTTTTTAAATAAAATCTTTTAAAAGAATGTATTTTAAGCCCTCGCCCGTCTGGCTCAGGGGATAGAGCGTCGGCCTGCGGACTGAAGGGTTCTGGGTTCGATTCCCGCTCAAGGGCACATGCCCGGGTTGCGGGCTCCATCCCCAGTAGGGGGCGTGCAGGAGGCGGCCGATGCTTGATTCTCTCTCGTCATGGATGTTTCTCTCTCCCTCTCCTTCTCCTTCCCTCTCAAATCAATAATAATATATTTTTAAAAAAAAAAAAAAGAAAAGAATTTCTTTTGAAAACATGTGCGCCCTCCGTGACTGTCTGTGGCCCCGGGGGACCCATCTTGAAAAAGGGGAAGTTGGTGGCGGTGGGGGATCCATTGGGGAAAAAGGAGGCGTATGTAAAACTTTAGACAATAAAAAAAAAATACAAATAAATTACAAAAAAGAAAAAGAGGAACTTGTCCCACATCCACTGCGGTTCTGGGTTTTGTAACTCAACCTAGGATGACAGTTTGCTGTTAACAGCCACCCACCAGGTCCCTGGAGGGTTGGGGACCGTGGGGTTCGCATGTGCGATTGGGGGGCAGACGGACGGGGGGGGGGTCCCCAGGAGACCTGGGAGCTGGCTGTCTCGGCTCCTTTGTTGTCAGCAGCTCTGTCCGAAGGCTGCACCCCCTCTGGTCCCTGAGCCCGGCTCTCACCAGCTCGTCCAGGACCCCAACTGTAAGTCTGGGAAGACGGGGGGCCCCCCCAGGCCAGGGTCCCCTGGGGGGTGAGGCCGACCTAGATGAGGCATGTGTGTGACTCCTAAAGACACTGGTTAGCCATAGCTGGTTGGGCCCAGTGGTTGAGCGTCGACCTCGGAACCAGGAGGTCAGGGTTCGATTCCTGGGGTTGTGGGTCCATCCCCAGTAGGGGGCGTGCGGGAGGCAGCCGGTCCATGATTCTCCGTCATCATGGATGTTTCCTTTTTAAAAAAATGTATATGTGTATTGATTTCAGAGAGGAAGAGAGAGAGAGAGAGAGAGAGAGAGAGAGAGACATCGATGATGAGAGAGAATCATGGACCGGCTGCCTCCTGCACGCCCCCTACTGGGGATCGAGCCCGCAACCCGGGCCTGTGCCCTTGAGCGGGAATCGAACCCTGACCTCCTGGTTCATAGGTTGAGGGTCAACCACTGAGCCAAACTGGTGAGGGCTGGTTATTTGTTCCTTTCATCTGTCTAGGCCGTCTGTCATCTGTCCATCCATCCTATCTGTCATCTATCATCTATCTATGCATCCATGTGTCTTATCTGTCCGTCTGTCTGTGTATCCATCCATCCATCATCTAACTATACCTGTCATCTATCTATCTTTCTATCTATCTAACTATCTATCTATCTATCATCTATATCATTTATCTATCTATCTATCTATCTATCTATCTATCTATCATCTATCTATCCATCTCTATCATCTATCATCTATCTATCTATCTATCTATCTATCTATCTATCTATCTAAATATCTATCCATTCTATCTGTCTATCATCTATTTATCTATTATCTATCTCTGTCTATCTATCTATCATCATCTATCTCTATCATCTATCTCTATCTATCTATCTATCTATCTATCTATCTATCTATCTATCTATCTATCTATCTATCTATCTATCTATCTATCTATCTATCTATCTATCTATCTATCTATCTATCTATCTATCTATCTATCTATCTATCTATCTATCTATCTATCTATCTATCTATCTATCTATCTATCTATCTATCTATCTATCTATCTATCTATCTATCTATCTATCTATCTATCTATCTATCTCTCTATCTATCTATCTATCAATCTATCACCTATCACAGGGATGGCGAACCTATGACACGCGTGTCAGAGGTGACACGCGAACTCATTTTTTTGGTTGATTTTTCTCTGTTCAATGGCATTTAAATATATAAAATAAATATCAAAAATATAAGTCTTTGTTTGACTGCGGTTGCAAATATCAAAAAATTTCTATAGGTGACACGGCACCAGAGTTAAGTTAGGGTTTTTCAAAATGCTGACACGCCGAGCTCAAAAGGTTCGCCATCACTGGTCTAGGCCGTCTGTCATCTGTCCTTCCATCCTATCTGTCATCTATCATCTATCTATGCATTCATGTATCTTATCGGTCCGTCTGTCTGTGTATCCATCCATCCATCCATCCATCATGCATCTAACTATACCTGCCATCTATCTATCTATCATCTATCTATCTATCTACCTATCATCTATCTCTATCATCTATCATCTATCTCTATCATCTATCTGTCTTTCTATCTCTATCACTTATCTATCATCTATTTATCTATCATCTATCTATCTATTTTCTATCTCTATCTATTATCTATCTATCTCTCTATCTATCATATATCTATCATCTATCTTTATCTATTATCTATTATCTATCTATCTATCTATCTATCTATCTATCTATCTATCTATCACCTACCTATCATGCATTTATCTGTCTACCAGAGGTCCCAGTTCAGGAATTCGTGTACGGGTGGGGTCTGGCCAGCCCACACCAATTGGGCCAGGATGGCTGGGGGGAGGGGCCGCAGGTGGTAGGCTGGCCGACCGGCACGCCCCCTGGTCAAACTCCCAGTCAAGAGAACAATTTGCATATTAGCCTTTTATTCTACAGGATCATTTCTATCATCTGTCTTCTATCATTTCTTTCTATATTTATCATGTGTTTATCTGTTTATCTATCTTTCCATCTAAGATCTCTCATTTCTATCTGTATCTTACCTATGTATTCATCCATTCTTTCCTTCGTCGTATCTATCTATCTATCTATCTATCTATCTATCTATCTATCTATCATCTTCTATATCTATCTATCTATCTATCCATGTATATATCTTCTGTATCTATCTATCTATCTATCTATCTATCTATCT